ATTGAGATATAGCTATAGACCTAACGTATAACTATTATTTAAAAAAAAATCAGCTAAAAATATTAACTGGATCAAAAGTTACTTAAGTTGTCAGTGAGTGGTGGGCCACCCTATATATATATTATATACATTACACTCATAAATCATAAAAGTTGTATTCAGGATTTCAATATGGAAATAGGAGATGATATAGCTTTTAGAATAATCCATCAAATTTTTAAAATTAATCACTATCTACAGATTTGCATCGAAGCGTTTTTTTTTGATAGTGATTTTAATATATTTCATTATACTTGACCCAACTATGCCACGTGCTCACTGTGCGGCTACCCAATGCGCTCGGTTTTTTTTAAAACAATTTGAAATAAATGGGATATCTTATTTTTCTGCAAAAAAATATTATACATTTAATTTTCAAGGACATCATTTAATGCTAAGATTAGAAATTTCTCAGTAAATATATTTACATAAAATTTAACTGTTCATAGTTATAAAACGTAAAATAGATTAGACATTACCTAAAATACTGCTAAAAAAAAAACTTTATATACATATGTATGAATACATTTTTATTTTTATAAATACAAACATAGTAGGTAAGTTATTTGATGAAACACAGTTGCGAAGTATAGATTATGTAGTAAATGTTGAAAACTTTTTTCTATCAATATATTATCAAGCAAATATATAAAACAAATATGTATGGATGGAATGTCATGCACATGTACTTCATTAGTTCAAGTTTGAAAAATTATATTCAGTTTGGTAGATAGTATACGGTTTAACTTTAAAAAAAGGAACTCTTTAATTCCTATCATAGTCTTATGTTTTTTAGACTTAATAATAAAGCGTACTGTTGGGGTAACTTATGATGAGATCTAGGTTTTTGATTTATCTCACTCAAGATAACACGATTACATTATGAGCTACACATATGATAAACTTAAAATGAAAACATAATTCAGCTCCTCTTACATTATAATGCTAAATTTATTTAAACATAGAATGATAAAGTAATACTGTGAAATAATCAGTACAATCTTGAAAAATAACCTAAAAGGCCTTAGATTAAATGTGTTTGTAATTGTAAGCGCACTACATTAACCGACAGACGAATTGAATATTTAAGTTTAATTGTTTGAGCGAAGTCAACGCTGAGTGAACAGTTGTATCACTTTTAAAAGTAGAACCAATATATGGTACTGATGCAATTACCAAATTTATTTTGTATGTTCTTAGTGGACTGTATAGAGGGTAAATTTAAATGACAACATCTAGAAGAAAGTTAACTAAATATATGATTTTTATTTCTATGCTTACAAGTAAATAATTTTCTTATTGACAACAATTGACTAAATTTTTTAATATAATGTTTCAAAATTAATGAATTGTCAGCTCAAAGAATTAATACTCATTTGATTTCAAGGTGTAAGCTAATTCTAAACTACATGTACAAAAAAATAAAACTAATATGAGCAATTTATCAATGGAGTCTGTCATATAAGGTACTAAAATGAGATCAATTACTAATATTTAATTTTGTGAGGTTTAGTGTGATTGTTTAATTTGAGAAACTAGATAATTTCTGAGAAGATAATATAAGTTTAAGTTGAGGGATTACAAATGTGAGTATAGACAAAATTTGTGAACAAAAATTTTAATTTAGCGACTGATCGACCATGGATTTTAATAATTATAAGTAGTTTTACATGACATATTGTCAATAAGTAAAACAATTTTAAAATTCAACTTGATAAAGTTTTACCACCAGCCTCCAAGAAGTATTAGAACTCTAGTGAATGATTTCAACACTAATTTAAGATTTTGACTTGACTATTTAATGTACTATTACAATATATATTTGATATGACAACAACAAATGTGTANACTATTACAATATCTATTTGATATGACAACAACAAATGTGTAATAATTATTTTATATTACCAATAAACCAATATTTAATAAGAAATTTGAAATCAACCACGAGGTTTCTAAAACTTGATTTAAGAATTTAAGTTAGGAAATAGTTGTAAGCAAAGTTTTCTACAAATTACAATATTAATGTGAATTACCGTTACAAAATTACCAACAATATGACAGAGAGAGTGTTATAATTGACAATTATTTTAGTTAAAAATAATGGCGACTAGGCACAAGTATCGAAAATAAAACAACATCCACTGGACAGCTTGGCAATCTAAAAACGAATGTCGAGATATTTTTAAGCGCATAACCGCTACCCCGACAGACTGATTTGACCAATGATAAGAGAAGTAACGAGTGACCATTTCAGTGTGACCACAATTTAAAAATAAACTTTGCTGAACGCAAACAGTAATGAAATAAATTATTTAGATTGCAAGTCCCGACAGTATGAAT